TTGCGCGCTTTTTTTGCACGGGCGTTTGGTTGGATGCCGGGCGGGCGATCGCGGGGCGAGCGCGCGGGCGGGGGGCAGGGGGGGCGGGGCGGATGACGCGAAGACGACGCGTGAAATGTCCTGTGGCTCGCGGCTGCTAGGTTGCCGATTGCGCCATGATGGCCCAACGCTTGCGCGCGAAGTAGCACGTGATGGACGGCGCGAAGGCGAAGGCGCGCGTCGCGATCGCGCCACAGAGCGAAGACAACAGGTCTGGAGGGGGGGGGGGGGGGGGGTGGCGCGCGAGGAAAGGAGGCGACGCGCATTGCAACCCGACCGCGAGCTACGCCCACGCCCGCCCCGCCCCCGGGAAAGCTGCGCTCGGGCGCGCCCGTGGATTGGCGCGCGAGCTCTGCTCGCTGCCCGCGGTCGCGCGCTCGCCCCGCCCCATCTGCGTCTCCCAGCGAGGTCGACAAGCTCGCCCCCGACCTAATGGCGAGAGGGGGCATCGCGATTCGCGGGTTGACGCTGGCGCCGATGCACGACGACGCGTTCGTCGAGAAGGCGCCGCCGGGTCTTGCCGACGAGCGCCAGGTGACCCATGCAACCGCCAATGTCGGGCCTGCCTCCGCGTGTTCAACGCGCTCGTTCGAATTCAGGGGCGCCGCGTGCGCCTCGACCATCGAGCCGAAGCAGCTGTTTCTGAATGCAAAAAATGCGATAGCGCCATTCCCATTCCGGCATGTGCAGGTGGCCCCGAAAGGCGGCCGCAATGGCAAGATGAAGATTGCACTGGCGTCCGTACCTGGGGGCCGCGCCGGCGTCCTGATGATTGCCAGCGCGAGCGCCATAAAGACGCGCGAAGTCGCTGGCCCCCACGACGAGCGCGCCGAGCCCGAGCCCCGCGACGGCGGCGCGGAGGCCCTCGAGCCCCAAGCCGACGGCGGCGACGCGCCCGACGGCAAGGGCGGCGGCGACAGGGGCAAATTTGGCAAGGTGGGCAAAGGCCCACCCAACGCGGGCCGCGGCCGCGGGGCTGGGCCCGGGTTCGCGCCCGTCGAAGGCGGCCAAGAGATCGCGCAAGGCTCAGGCGCGTGCTAAGCACGCGCTCGCCGCTGCGCTCGTCGCGCGCTGGAGCGCGCGCGCGCATCCATCCCTCCATATCATTGTCGCGACGCCCATCGTCAGGCAGCGCTCTGCCCCGCCCCCGCCGTCGTCGCGCGCGGGGGGCGGTCGGCGCAGAGCGGCGCGCGAGACCGCGCGCGCCCCTCGAGCAGGTCGCGACCGCGCAGCGCCGCGCCGCGCGAGGCGGGCCATGGCCTCGCCGAAAGCTGACCCGCCCCCCATCTAGACCATTCGGGGCGCAGTGTGGTCAACGGCGGGGGAGGTGTAATCGGCGGGGAGGCGTCAGATCGTCGGCGCAATGTTTTGCGCGACGGCGTGGAAGAGGGCATTGCGCGAGGTTCCTGGGTTTCGACGCGCAGCTGGGCAAGCCGATGAGCGGCGCCCCGTGGCCCCGGGCAACCCAGACGTGCGAGGTCCTGATTTTTTCAGGGCGGCGCCCCCAGAAGTCCAGACCCTTTCCCCGGGGCCGGTCTTTCATCCTGAATCGCTTTTTGTCGACGGCCCCGAGGGCCCGGCGATGGCCCCCAGGGGCCGAGACAAAAGCGAAATACTTGCCGTCCAAAGTGTTGGCAACGACGCGATCATGCCTGGTTTGCCCTCGCGCGCTGCGCGGCGCGACGGCGGGCGCGATCATCGAGCGGGGCAGACCGAAGGGTGCCGCCTGCAGTTCGGGGGCTGCGCGGGCCGCGCTCGCAAGCGTGAGCTGCCGCGGGGGCGGCGCGAGAGCCGCGCTCGCGATGGGGTCCGAGGGCCGACGCGCCGACGTCCAGCGCCATTCCCGCAACGAAGGAGTCGCGGGCCAAACTGTTCGCGCGCGCGAGTCCCGCAATGTCTGGACATCGCGCGCCCCAGGTTCGTCTCGGACGGCCGCGATTCCCCCCCCCCCCGCGCGCGATGCGCGCGGCTGCCACTTCGGTGGAGGGCGCGAGGTTGCACGTCGAGTTGAGTGGAAAGAATACGAGACATGATGCCCACGCATATCCGTGCCCCCTCGCCCGTTCCAGCCAGCGGGCTATGCTCGCTGGCTGAGGCGGCAGCGCGTTTCTTATTGGGTAAGTTGGCGTTGTTAGTGTCGGGCTGGGTTGCATGCGTGTGTGAGCAGTGATGTGCGCGAGCGCAGCTCGCGAGCGGTTCTCGCGCGGGTATCGAGACGTAACGACCTTCCCGATCTAACGGCTGGCGTAGTTATCCGCGTTCAGTATCGCGGCCACAATCGCGCCCATAATGGTGAACCACCGCAGGAACTTATCAAGACCAGCTTCGAGTGGATCAAACGTAGGATCGACAGGGGCCACCTCCACTGGGCAGCGTAGGCGAGGTGCAGGGCGGCCGACTGGTTGTGGAAAGAGGTCCACGCGACGCCGCGACGCTTCGAGGGTCGATGGTCGTTCGCGCGCGCACGAGATGGCCCGCGCATGCGCGGGCCGCGCTCGCGTGCGCGCGCTCCCGCCCCACCCCAGTAGCAGTTCGCCCGATCAGACCCGAGGACGTCGACAGCTGCAACGATGAATACGATCGATGGAGGCGAAGCTTCAAAACGTATACCATACTGACCACCATGGTGCTCATGAGGGCGAGGAGGAGGGCATGACCGACGCGCACGACACGACGCGTCCACAAGGCCCTTACCAGGTCGAGGAGGCCGAGCTGGAGTTCAAGGCGCCCATGGAGGATGCCATGGGAACACAACGTCAGCATATCGTGGCGGGCACGCTCGCCCGATCACGTCGGCAGATAACGTCGCACTGGTCGAGGGTCTCAGATCGCACGAGGCGTATGTCTGCGGTGTTTGGCGCCCCCCATATCCCCCCCGCCTCCCAAGAGGTGCCGTTCGTGCGAGAAACGGCAAAGGGGCTGCAGGTGCTCGCCGTCGTCGCGCGAGCTGGGCTTGCGCGCGTACCGAGCGAGCTATGATCGCCCACCTCCTCCAGCCACCCCACATCATGCCTCTGAGCTTACCTCAGGCGCAACGCACGCGCGTGTCCCATCAGGGCGACAACCTCGAGGACAACGACGCGATGGTGCTGGCGGTGGTACAGCTGGGGACCGCGGCGCTAGATCATGCCATCGAGGCAGATGCGGCGATGCATCGCGCGCCCGCTGGCTTCGCCGCGGCATGTGACGAGGACGTCGGGCCATCATAATGCGAGACCAGCCAACCCCCCCGCCCACAGTCGAGCCACGGCGATCCACGCTCGCATGCACCCCCTACGGCGATGCGACGAGGAGGCTGGGGCAACAGACTATGCAAACGAGGCCAAACCAAGGCCGGGCCAAGCAAACTTCGAGGATGTCTCAAAAGAAGCTGGGCCCAAAACCGGGCCGACACCAGCGGCCCAACCGGGCAGGTGTCGAGAAGGTCCCCGGCGGGGCGAGCAGGCGGACCAGGCCGAACCAGAAGGCCCAAATCAGGAGCCAAACTGGGCAGATGCCGAGGACGTCCTGAGCAGAATCGCCCAGACCAGACTCCATTTACATTTCTTGATCCGATTCGAATTCAAGGAGTCGATCATTCCAGGGCCCACCCGCCGAATCTTACACAGGGGGGCGTTTGGACAGCGCGTCAGCTGATTCGGGCGGCATTGGGCGCAGAAGTCTTCGTTTGTCCTTCGGGTGTTGTTGGGGTTTTGGTGTGGCGCTCGGAAAAAGGTCGAACCTGTCGACTCTACAGGGTCGGACATATTTCTCCAACGCCCAGTGTAGACTCCAACGTTTGCAAATATATCTAGATCTCGGCACCGCCTCCCCTGTCATTTTCTCTCCTCACACGCCCTGCGCCCTTTGGTTCCCTCTCCTCCCCCTTCTCCATCTCGTCTCCTCCTCTTCCTCCTCTCCCTTTTCTCTGTAGATCTCAAGTGATTTCGAGAGGCCCTCGGAAGCCTGGCAGGCTCCCAACCTTGGCGGCCCCGAGAAACCCGAGAGTTGCCAGAGACGTCCAAAAGCCTAAATCCTCGATCCCGCTCCTGCTCTTGTTGCTGCTGCTACTGCTGCTGGTGCTCCTCATCCATCCAATGTCCTTATTGATAACACCTCCCCGTCGCACCCCGAGAATTGTTTGTAGTGCCGGCTGGGAGTTTCGCCTGGGGCTTCTTCACGATGTATGATCCTGGATCCTGAAATGTGTAGCAGTTCCAAGGATGGAGGGCGGCTAGTCTTCAAACTGTGACTGTCGCGTTCGCGCCGCGCACGTTCGTCTTACAAGGTTGCAGCAGTTTGAAGGATGCAGGGCGGCTGGTTTGAGCATAAAGTTGTCGCCTTAGTACCACGCGCAGCCATCTGAAAAGTTTGCAGCAGTTTCAAAGATGGGGGGGCGGTTTCGTCCCAATGTGTGGATCTCGCCTTAGCGGCGCGCGCATCCGTTTCAACAGTTTGCAGATGCTTCACAAATTCGTACGGTTGAAGTCCCAGGAATGGTGTTCGGGCTCTGTTGACGATTGCCAGGGCGCAAGAGTCACATTAATGAGTGGTGTTCACGCACCAAGAACGGTCTGGCACGATGTAGGATGGTCTGGACGCAGCACTCGCTTTGATTCGCGGCGTTGACGTCCCAGGAACGGCATGATGGTGCGACTGGGGATTCTCAGACGGTTTTTTTCAATGGGGCACTTCCCGCAACGAAATGGAATTCTGGTAGGGACCCATGATCAAGAAACTGGGAGAGAGGGTGTAGTGCAACACATTTAAGGCGTTTTGGGTTTGCACTGGTCCTCCCCCTCATCTTATTACTCCTCATCCTCCTCCTCAGCCCGCACGCGGCGCGGGAGGGATTGCGTTCCAGGAGGAGGGGAGGAGGGGCAGGAGGAGCAGGGGAAGGAGGGGAGGAAGGGGAGGAAGGAGGGCTAGGATGAAGGAGAAGGAGGAGGAGGAGGAGGAGGAGGAGGAGGAGGACGGATGAGGACGGAGGAGGAAGGAGGACGGAGGAGGCTGGAGGCTCACAAGGAGGAAATCTCTCCCTCGCGATGGGCGAGAAGCGCACTCGCAACACGTGGGCCGGCCACCGGCCGGTCGCGGCTGCGCCCGGGCCCGGCGCCGAGCCCAGGAGGTCGGGCGCCGCTGGGGGCGCGCGCCCCCAGACATCCGACGTCGCCAACAAGTCAGCGACACTAAGTCACTAAGTGTTCCCCTCGACGGACTAGGTCATCGTGCCTCGTATTGTCCATCCTCTCTTCTTCTTCCCTCTCCTCTCCTGCGCTGCTGGGCCGCCTCGCACCGTCGCCCCGCAGGACGAGCGCGCCCGTCATCCTGCAAACGCGTAGCAGGGCGAGTGGACACGATGGCAGCTTAAAGCCTGGATTTGTATATCACAAAACCACTTGTTTGAATTTAAAATTCAAGAACCATTCCCCCAAACACCTGCCGCGGTCCAGCAACGTCCAGCCGTGGCGACGAGGGGCCGTTCCGAAGGCCAGCCGCCGCTGTCCCAGCTCGCCCTCCCCTGAGAAGCGAGCCTTGTCGGCCATCCCGTCTCCCTGGGGCCCTCCCTGCAGGACGGCGGCCATGCGAGAGACGCTTTGATTCCCCTCGCTTGGCAGTTTGTCAGAGTAGATTTGCATCCCTGGGCTCGAGCTTGGGATCCCTGTGGAGTTGCCGCTTTGCACCTGCTGTGCTACACTCTGCACGACTCGTTCGCACCTGGGCATGTCTTCTCTCGGCTGCACTTCTGTCCCCCGACAGGGGGCTTCTGGGCAACAAATTCAAAATAGAAGAATAAAAAATAATCCGCCGACCCTGTCGGCGTGTGGAAGAGGCTTCTCCGTCTGTTCCCTCTTCGTCGTCGTCGTCGTCGTTCCTTCCCCTTTCCCCACAGCGTCGTTGCTTCTACCCCTCTCCCAGGGCCTCCTCCTGAAGCGTGCCAGTCCAAAGCGAAATTGAGCAACGTCGTAATTGAGCCAAAGGGAAGCCCCTTCCCTTTGATCCCTTCCCCGCCCGGGGGGGGGGGGGGGTACCGGGGTGGGTCCCGGGGGGTCCCGGGTTTTTACGCCGTCCCCCCGGGGAATCCCGGAGCCCCAAAAAGCCCCAAGACGGGCCAAGAGTGCCCCAAGAGGCCCCCAAGACGATCCAAGAGGGCCCCGAATCGCCCAATGATCTGTCCAAGAGGCCTTGACGGCCTCCAGACGCCCCAAGAGGCCTGCGAGACGCCCCAAGAGGCCTCCAGGACCGTTCCCACGAGAGCCCCAAGAGGCAAAAATCATGGATTTCCCATACGTTTTTTAAGAATGTTGGCGTTCTCGCCTCTTCCGCTTCCCCACGCGCCAAGACGGCCCAAGAGGCCCCCAAGGTCGCCCCGAGACGGCCCAAGAGGCCTCCAAGAGAGTCCCCAAACGTCCCAAGAGTGCCCCAGGACGGCCCAAGACGCCTCCAAGACGGCACATGAGGCCCCCAAGACGGTTCCAAGAGAGTGCCCAGACGGGGGACCCGAACGGACATTTCGAGCCCTCAGCCCCGAGAAGCCCCCAAGAGGCCCCCAGGAAGCCCAAAGAGGCCCCAAGAGGCTCCCAAGAGGCCCCCAAACATCCCCCCAGAGGCCCCCGAGAGCGCTCGGAAGAAACCCCAAGAAACACGTTTGAGGACTCAACCCACGTCAGCATCGTCGTCGTCGCTACCGCCGCCGCCGCCGTCGTCGTTCCCCTTCAGGGTCGGCGGCACCGGCCGTAACCTTCGCAATAGAAACATCGTCCCCTGACTATTTCTTGTCTATTTCTGACGATTCCTCCTGTAGAGGGACGGGCCCGATTTAATTCTAGTGCCACGAGCCTGCTTCGGCACATCCCGAAAAACTTCTCGCTCTGAGGGCCCCCCCCGCGCCACGCGCAGCCTCGCTTCCTGTCCTCCGGCACCCCCCCGTGCCACCCCGTGGCGCGATTCGCTTCGCCTGTGCCCCAGCGCAGTCCGCCCACGACCCGGACCCGAGAAACCGCCCACCGACGACGCGACGACGAGTGCGAGGGGTCTTGGACCCAGGCCCCCGACGCCGTGATTTTTTCTCACAACGTCGCCCCCCAGAAGTCTGGACCCCTTCCCCGGGACCGGCTCCTCATCCTGAGCTGCTGTTTGACGGCCCCGAGGCCCGGCACGGGCCCCCAGAGGCCGAAAGTAGCGAGAAACTTCCCGTCGTGACTTTTTCACAACGCGAGGGGGTCTTGGAGGGAGGGGCCCGCGGCTCACAACGACTGCGACATCGGATGCCCGGGCGAGGCCGGCCACCCCGCGGCGCCCCGAGCCGGCCCCTGCGGGGCAGGCGCTCGCCCCAGAATATAAGACGCGGGCGGGACGAGGGCGGCGCCGCCCTGGCTTCGGACCCGCCGTGCGTTTTGGGCGGCTTCGGAAGCAGGGCGGATCTTCTCGAGTAAACGCAAGAGGGACCCCGGGTAAGAGTCACCTTCGGTGCGCGGCTTCTTGGGGGGACGCTGGGTGGCCAAACCCAGGCGCGCAAGCCGCTGCTACCGCCTCGCGTTCAGCGATCGGGGGGCCCCATTGGGCCCGCATCAGAGGTCATGCCGGCCAAAGGTCTCTCTTACGTCTGGTCGATCTTCCCGCTCCACTGGTCAAGCTCCGTTGATGTCGATGTCCGCCCTGAACCTTGCTGTCGCTGTTTCGGCCCCTGCCCTTTGCGGGGGCTGGCCGCCCCACCCTCCTCCGAGGCGGCACGTCCGCCCTGCCTCTTCTCACTGTGAGGGGGTGGCTTCCTGGCACAACCACAGACGTGATCGCGCCTAGAACAAGAACACATCAGGTCGGGATCTCTTTTGCCGTTTTCGGCCTCGGAGGGCCCTCGCCAGGCCTCGGGATCGTCAAAATACGACTCAGGACGAAAAGCCTGTCCCTGGGAAAAGGTCGGGACTTCCAGGAGCCCCGGATTGAAGACGTCGTCCTGATTTTTTCAATGCGCGGTTCCTGCAAGTCCCCACCCTTTCCCCAGGACCGGTTTTTCGTCCTGAGTCTTTTTTGTTGACGCTCCCGCGGCCTGGCGAGGGCCCCGTCGAGGCCGAACACGGCCGAAACCCGCCGTCGTGTTTTTTCTTACGACGCGATCACGTCGGGGACTCCGGGTCGGAGAAGCCCCCGAAGCACGGGGGCACCGAGGTCAGGGCAGGCGCTCGCCCCACCACAAGACGAGGGGCGGGGTGGCGGCGGCACTGGGCGGGCGCCCGCGGCGCGAGCGCAGGCGCACGGCGGCGAGCGCCCCGCGCGGCTCAGTGTGGCGGCGCGCGGAGGGCAGGGGGGGAGGGGGGGAAGGCTTCTTCTGAGGAGGCTGCTTCTTAGAAGGCGCGGGCCTTACATTCTTTGACCATTTACAGGCAAGGCCCGCGGCTTCCAAGAAGCAAGGGTGCTTCCAAGAAGCCTCCCCCCCTCGCCCTACCCCCCTCTGCGCGTGGCCGATCAGTACTGGATCACCTCCTCCGCGCCCAGGCCCGACTCGTCCTCCCAGAGGTGGAACTCCACCGTGGCCCCCTGCGCCCGCGGGGCGGGACCCTGAGATCCTGGCGTTGCAACTTGTTCACAGCCGACGTTTTCGCTCCATTTCGGGCCCCGGGACCCTCACAGATCGATCTGGCTCGAGAAATGAGGCAGAACGATGAGGTCCAGGGCTCCGGTCATGATGTTGTGCGATGCTCCGATTTTTTGCAACGCCGGATCTCGGGGGGGAGGGGCGGCAGCTGGACTCGGCCAGGGCACGGGTCGGCCAGGCTAAACTCGGCCAAGCGGAACTTGGCGCGGGCCGAGCTCAGCCTGGCCGAGTCTTTCCCTTATCGACGGGGGAGGGGGGGGGAGGGGGAGGGGGAGGGGAGGGGAGGGCGGGAAGGACCCAGCCTGACTACGGATCCGCCGTGCTCTGGTTGATCTTCCGACCTGACAGTGTGCTAACACCGCTGTGGTCCAGTCCAGTGTGCTGCCCTCGGGGCAGCGCTGAAACTGGGAGGAGGAGGAGGAGGAGGAGGAGGAGGAGGAGGAGGAGGAGGAGGAGGAGGAGGAGGAGGAGGAGGAGATGCACCCCGAAGGACGCGACAACGTGGGCGGACATTTCTGCCTCAAAGAAACAGGGGGCGGATGTTTCCGCAAAGGCAGGGCGGAGACAACGACGGCGCACCAGGGCGGAGATCGACATCAGCGGAGCTGTCGCCTGGCCTGGAAGCTGGTCCGCGCGCCGCAGGAGGGTCCGACCCTGTCAGCAGTGAGCGAAGTCTGTGCAAAAGCTCACCCAACACTCGCAGATCGCATTCGCCACGTCCCCTTGCCTCCCTCGCTCCTCCCCCGCCGCCCCCCTCCTCCTCAAGGGCTCCTAACTTCGCGCTTCGCGCTGCGCGAAGCGCGAACAACTTCGCGCTCTCGCGCCGCCCCCAAAGGGGAGAAGAGGAGGACGAGGAGGAGGGGGAGGAGGAATGAGGCCCGCGAAGCGCGAAGCGCGACTGACTTCGCGCCCTCGTGGGGGCCCTTGCCTCCTGCTTCCTGTCTCGTCAGGGCTCGCCCTTCCAGGGGCTTCCACTGCTGCAGCTCATCGTGCCCGCGGGTCCCTCTGGATGCTCGGCTGTGTGATGGTGGTGGTGGTGGTGGTGGTGGTGGTGGTGGTGGTGGTGGTGGTGGTGGTGGTGGTGGTGGTGGTGGTGGCTGCGGAATCGCCCAAACTGCGGCGCATCCAAACTCATGGAGGAACCCCAGACATGCGACGCCCTGACTTTTTCAGGACGGCGCCCCCAGAAGCTCAGACCCCTTCCCCAGGGCCGGCTCTTGATCCCGAGTCGTTCTTTGACGGCCCCGGGGCCCGGCGAGGGGGGCCGAAGACGGGGAACAACCTGCGGCTCGAGCTTCTTTTGCGACGCGATCGTGTCTGGGACCCGGGCCCCCTCGCGTCTGGAAGCACTCGCGGCGGCACATGGCTCTCTGTTCTCGGCCTCGTGGGGGGGCGCTCGCCCGGCCAGGGGGGGGCCGTCCGGCAGCTGCCCGGGAGGGGCCACCGGTCCGGGTGGAGGGGCCCGGGCCGCTGGGGCCCACGCTGTGAACAAAGGGCGACATGACGTCGGGGGTCCGGGAGGGAGGGAGGGACGGAGAAGCAGGAGGAGGAAGAGGGACGGACGGAGGAGAAGCAGGAGGAGAAAGAGGGAGGGAGGTCGTGCGCTCGGCAGGAAGCTCAGAGGGAGGAAGAGCAACAGCACCGCACGTCCTCTGGACCAGCCGAAGGTTCGTGCCGAACGAGAGACGCATGGCGTATTGAACATGTCTTCTGCGGGGTTTCGACTAGCTCGGCACGAACTTTCTGGGATCTACTGAAAGCGATTTACAGGCTACATCATGGGCAAGAGCCACCGAGAGAACGAAGCCTTGGTATTCCTGTTCTGATCCCAAGCCAAGCCATAGAAGGAAAGAGGGATGGTCGGGAGATGCAGACGGGGCAACGCGATGGGATGGAGCATGCGGGGGCAGTGGAGGGAGTGGAGGAACCAGTCGGCAGCCAAAATCTTAAGATGAGGCCGAACTTTACTGGGTTGCGATGTGGTCAAAACCTGCCGAAGACACAACCACCTGGCTTTGATCTCGTTCTCGAACAGTGGGTCCATATCTAAGAACCATGTGCGGAACCTTCTGGACAGAGGCTTGTTGAAGCGATCTGGGTAGATGGTAGCGACTAATGAAACGACAGTGCCTGGCGGCTGTTTCCCCCTGTCCCAAGGCGCTGACGACCACGACCCGCCCCATCTCGCAGCCGGATGCCTCCAGCACTGGGGCTGGGAGTGTAAATCTTTGCCCAAGCGGTGCGGTGCTTGCAGCAGACTAGAGGATGCGAAGCTGCTTAAGCCTGTCTTCGTCTGGCAAACGCGCGTCCAGGTCAGCATTAGCTGAAGCGATCGCTTCGTGGATGCGATTCGCGGGAAAAGTGAGGCCGCGCCAGCCTCGGACGAACCCCTCGCAATATTGCACGATTCATGACGCTTGGGCCCAGAGGAGACCTCCTCGCACTCCCATACGAAAGCCGTGCACGTCCGCCCCCTCCCACCACCACTCAAAATCCCCCGCCTAGTTTCTAAGAGTGTGTGCAATTGCGTGCCATGCAAATCCGAACGCACACGCCTGCACGCTGGTGGAGGGTTTAATAGCGGAGCCAACTTCTTGACCCAAAAGAACTCGCGCAGAGAGAAAGAGCTAGGCGGGAGACGGAGACGGTGGAGCTTGAGGAGTACATCGTAGTCCTTGCTTATGATTCCCTGGCAAAGCGGGAGCAACACTGACATATGCACCCCAGATCGATAGACACGTGCACTCATGTAGGCGCATGGCAGCTTCGCTCGGGGCTGCGGAAGGGAAACACGAGGATGATGCTGATGAGAATGATGATGCTGATGACGATGATGATGGTGATGGTGATGATGATGCTGGTGATGGCGGTGCTGACTCGGATGATGAAAACGATGATGACGATGACGATGACGATACTGATGCTGATGATGATGACGAGGATGATGATAATGACGGCGGTGATGATGCTGATGATGCTGCAGATGATGATGATGCTGATGGTGATGCTGATGACAATGATGACGACGGTGATCATGATGACGATGATGATACTGATGATGATGATGCTGATGATGATGATGCTGACGATGATGCTGATGCTGCTGCTGCTGCTGATGATGATGTTGATGATGATGATGATGATGATGATGATGATGATGATGATGATGATGATGATGATGATGATGATGATGATGATGATGCGGAGGAGGAGGAGGAGGAGGAGGAGGGAGGAGAGAAGGAGGAAGAGGGGGTATGAGGTGGATGAGGAGGAGGAGGAGGAGGAGGAGGAGGAGGAGGAGGAGGAGGAGGAGGGGGAGGGAGGAGGAGGAGGAGGAAACGAGCACACCAAGGGGTCAGCTCCAACACTCCTCACAGGCCCCCCGGGCCAGAAGACCCTTGACGCCGCTGGACTCGGCGGGGGGCGGCACGCGCCGGGGCGGCGCGCGCGCCCGTGTGGAACAAATCGGCCACGAGAGGCGGCGCAGCCGCTGCTTCATTCAGTGTGGCGCTGGCGACCGACGACCGAACTGGAGACCACGACGGGAGAGAGGGGGGCCGAAAAGAAAAGGGAGGTGACGGGGGAGAGGCGACGGAGGGGAAAAAGGGGCGCGCTGGCGAGCGAAATCGGAGCAGACACCACGACAGGGACCGGGAGGGGAGAGAAGGCGGGGAGCAGCGCAGCCGCACCAACAGAACTCAGGAGCGAAGGGCGGGGGTAGAGAGACGGCAGTTGTGAGAGGGCATGGCCCCAGAACAGGAACGCTGGCGTGACGGCGGAAAGCACGGGCGGAGCAGGCGAGGCAGAACTCGGGGCAGGAGCTGACAGACAACGCATAGCTGGAGTTCTCATCTGCTGGGGTCGTCGGGAGGATACGGGAAGAGGGCCAGACTCAGACCGCTGAGGATGGGATGGGGCGCGCTGGCGCTTCTCCGGTATCATGGATCATGGATGGGCTGGAGTTCAACGCGCCACCAATGCCAGCAGAAACCGACGTCCACATAGGTCGAGCAGGGACCGACTGTCCCAGCATTCCTATACGCATACCACGACATGTTTTCAAAACCAAAACTGTTCGAATGTCAACATCGATATTCGTATAACATAAACCCCGTGCGTTTTAAAAAGGGCAGTCTCCGCCAGAAGCGTTCTAAGAATATGTTGGGCAAGCCGCGGAGAGTGATTCGAACATGTTTAGGTGGGCTCGTAGGCAAGCCAGGACGCTTCGCCTCTGCTTGGCGAAAGGCCCTCTGCGGAGCAGATCCGGCAAACGAAATCGACGGCGGCGACGCCGACGGCCCGCCGCGCGCCGCGCTTTGCGGCGATGAGCGGCGCCAGCGCGGGAATGGCACGCCGCCTAAGCGCGGGGGGGTCGCCGCCGAAGACAGCGAGGGGCGCGGGCGCCGCGGCGAGGCGGCCGACCCAGCAGGAAGGCACGGCCGACTTCAACAAAGTTCCCCCGCCCTCCCTCCTCGCCCCGGACTGCGCCCGCGGAAGCCGACGTCCACGGGGGGGCCTCCTGCGGCGCGGATCTGGCAGGGGAGGGCGGCGACGGCGACGCGGGCGGCCCACGGGCCGGAATCAACTCAGCTCAGAGAGACAATGGATTCAAGCATAAGTGCAACAGCGCGCCTCAGTCTCTCAATTGTGGGCAAAACTGCGGCGATGAGGAACGCCAGCGCGGGGGCGGCACCGCCGCCGAGGCGTGGCAAGCCACCGCCACGGGTGACGAGGGGCGCGGGCGTCGCGACGAGGCAGCCGACCAATCTATCTCGCAGAGATCCTCCAGCCTGCCGACTTGCCGGGGGTCGCCGCGAGCGCGTCAGGGGCGGGCGGCGCCAAGCGCTGGGAAGGCACCGAATCGCACGCGACTGCTCCACCATCAGACTCGCCAACAACTGCGGGGCTCACGCGAGGGGTCAGGCGCGGGGGCGCGCCGAGAGA